TAGTATAACTCTGACCTGGAACAAGGTTAACAACACCTCAACATACATCCTGCAATATGATAATATAACAGAAAAGATTAATAAAACTGAAGAAGGACCCATAGTACATGTGGTCACTTCTCTGACTGCTGGGACAAACTACACATTCACTCTCCTCACCACGTCTGATGGAGTCAACAGTAGTGGATACACATTCAGTGCAGTGACAGGTTAGTGAGCCCTGAACAAAACCTTCAGTCTAATTAAAACATAAACAAAATACAAGATGTTGTTGGGAACATTGTTTTAGTTTCTTTTGTGTGTGTTTTTCTATTCTAGCTCCTCGTAATGCTGAAGAATTCAAGGCCATTGGTCAAAATGAGACCAGCATAAAGCTGCAATGGAAAACAGTCTCCAACAGCAACAATTATCTACTTGTGTTTAATGAAAAAAAGATCAACATTAAGAATTCTACAGAAGAATACACAGTCTCAAATTTGACCGATGGAACCAGATACACTTTCACTCTCTTCACTGTGTTTGGAAATGTCAGAAGCAGTGGAGTAAACTGCACCGCAGTCACTGGTAAGATATATTTTTTCTAATATAGATATATAAGCCAGGAAGGACCGGCTCATTAGTACTTGAAACTTTAGCTGATGGAGAGTTTTATTGTCAAAGCCACTTTCCTCTGTTATCTTTAGCTCCACAACGTGTTAATAATGTGAATGTGGTGCATCAAAATGAGACCAGCATAACACTGGAGTGGGAAAAGGTTAAAAACATCCCAGAATACATCCTACAGTATAATAACAGCACTGACATGGAGAAGAATATCAGTGCTTCTCAAGAGGGACCCATTAAATATGAGGTGTCTCCTCTGACTGCTATGACAAAGTACAACTTCACTCTCATCACTGTGTTTGAGGGAGTCAGCAGCACTGGATACTCTTTTACTGCTGTGACAGGTGGGTGATCATGAAGACTTGTGTGTTACAGGATGTTTTACTTATGGAAATCCTCTCACAAACTCCTGTATTTAGGTTTCTTTACAACAGATGGGTAATGTTGGGGATGTTATGTGGTTTGTAAATAAACGTTTGCAATGGTTTTTACAGTTACAGTTTTTTTGGACCATGCTTATATAATAGCTCCTCATAACATAAATATTGTAACACTGAACATGTCAAATACCACCTCTATCTATAATCCTAGACTGGTTTAGGAGGTTAACAAATTAAAAACACCTAAAACAGCTAAACACCTAAAACACCTAAAAAAAAAACAAAAAAACAAACAAACAAAAAAAAAAAACCAGTCATAATCCTTGAGAGGGACTTGGTGAGGTACTTTTTGTCTGATATACATTTACAACATTAGACGGGAGACATTAAAACTTGAAATCAGATTTTTATACTTACTAAAGGCTTAGGAAACCAAAATGATTACTTAAGGATGTCATTTGTGAATCAGACTTTGTAAAATTGTCTTTATTTCATCTTTAGCTCCTTATAATTCACAGCAACTGCATTTGAATCAGACTAAATGAGACCAGAGCTTCATTTATTTATTAACATACGTGTATTGCTTTGTCACTATGACTGCCTTAAAAGGAAAAAGTAACATCTATTTATGCTTCTGACCCACAGTATTTTTTAAAAATATCTCTTAGATTTTGTATTCTTCTGAAATCATTCTTTGTCCTCTTTCAGCTCCAGAAAATGTCCACAATATGACTGTGACACAAAATGAGAGCAGTATAACTCTGATGTGGGAGAAGGTTAATGACATGCTAACTTACATCCTAGAATATGATAGCGATAATATTGTTATTGGCAAGAATGACATGGGCGGATGCACGACATCAGGTGCATCAGTTACATGTGTGGTCTCTTCTCTGACTGCTGGGACAAACTACAGTTTTACCCTCTTTACTGTGTTTGAGAATGTCAACAGCTCTGGATACAACTTTAGTGCACCGACAGGTATGTAATTAGTGTTTTTTTAGCTGTTTGTTTTCCTTGTGATACAATACATTTAAATGGACAGTATAAGTCCAAGTCAAATTTCTATATTTTCCTTCTGGCCTGCAGTGCTCTTTATCCATCAGGGCTCCACCCACCAACTATATCTCTGTGAAGAAGGAAGTGTGCATCTAACCCTGATGATAGGCTTGTGCTTGTGATAGAGCAGCAAATATGAATGATGTGCTCTTAGCAAGCAGCATGCTTAATTATTATATTTTTATATGTAATTATTATATTATTCGTATATATAGTTATTATTTATTCAATTAATTTTAATGCTGAGTGCCATTTAGCTTACACACCTACTCAGACTTAAGTTTGCAAAAGCTTGTGATAACTGAACTAGCACTATATTCCTGTATGTTCCACAGTAACATGTAGCTATCTCACTCTAAAAGAAAAAGCTGAACAAATTCCACTTCTGAGTTTTGTTTTTGTTTTTTTCAGTTCCAAAAGTGGTGCCTTGGGTCAGTGTGACTGAACGATTTGTTAACAGCATAGCTCTAGAGTGGGAGAACATGAATAAAGCCTGGCAATACAAGCTTCAAATCAATGGTGATGTGTCAGATAGTGTGTCAGACGTCTCCTCAGATACTATCAGAAAAGTAGTGACATCTCTTCAGCCTGGAACACAGTATGATTTCAGCTTAACCACAGTGTTCGCTGGACTCAGGAGCACTCCTTATACGAATTTCACAGTAACAGGTAAAAAAAAACCCAAAACATCTCTGTGTTAGACTTTTATAACTTTTTCTTGTCTCTATTCAATGAGTTGTATAAAAAAAGAATCAGGTTCTTGCGTATAACTATTTTCTCACCCATTTCAGCCATCGACTGTGCCAGTGCAGACTGGAAAGTTACCAATTCATCAATCAAAGCAAAGATTGAAGGCTTGTTTTCGAACGCAAGCGCCTATAATGGATCTAACGTTCATGTCAGTGATGGACAAGAAAATGTGTCGTTTACTGGACTTTACCCTGGTGCCACCTATAATATCTCTCTTGTCTATGAAAAGTCTTCCAGAGTTTTCCTGCAGTGTGAACACAAATTAACAATTCGTGAGTACAAATCTGACTTAAAACAATAAATGTCTGCGTTTACAACAGAAACCATTTGAAGGACTAGAATCTGTAAATTAGTATTTAAGAACTTAAAGTAATAACTTTAACTTTCCTGAAAGATGAAGTGTGAATTCTTGTAATTTAGTTTTTAATTTTTACTCTTGCATTCAAATTTTAATCTTGAAAAAGTTTATTGCAGAAAAATAATTTTATATACGATTTATATACCACAGGTTAACACACATATTTAATATGATTCAGTATTAATACATGAGCTTCAACCAAGTATCATTTTATTATTAACTAACTTATTAGTTTTGATAAATAATCTCAACAAATTAAAAAGGCTAAAACAGAAAATCCTAACTTCTGTAAGGCAGGAATTATTTTTGTGACTTGAGCTGTTAATCAATCATTACTACAGATTGCTTTTTAATTATAATTATATACAGACTGAGTAATTCTTTCATTGTCTAAGTTTGAGGTCTTCATTCTTCATTTTTATATGAAAATCCAAAAATTTATTATTAACTTTTTAAAAAATAAGAGCACTGCTTTGACCTAAAAGTAATACAAATAATCTTTCTACTTTAGAACAAATTTCTACTTTTTCTACTTTAGAACAAAGTTTTGTAGTATAAAAAGTTTAATTATATTTACTGTAAGTCATATATTTTCTGCTTTAGTTGTGATTGTAAAACCTTTTTCTTGTTTTACTCAGTTCCTCCTAATCTAAATGCTCACTGTGAGTACTGGGCAGCTGGATACTCTGTTCTTATTAAATGGACAGCCCCAGAGGGCGAGTGGACTAATGCGGAGGTGAATGTGGCTGGAACGACTCACACAGTAGTTAGTCCTGAAACTGAGATCATAATCGATGGATTCCAACCTGCCAAAAAATATAATGTTTCTGTAACTTCACTGTCTGGGGTGAGGAGTTCTGAACCGCATGTTTTTTACTGTCAGACTGATCCAAGGGGTGAGTAAAAGTAACTATATTACCATGTTGCTGCTTGTAATCATAACAGTATACAGTATTTTCAACTTTGACTTGATCACAAATTGTTTCATTTCACGCAAGTGTAAAAAATAAACCTCTAAACTTTTCAACTTCATTGCTAATTATGCTTTTGCTCTCTTTAGGAGTTATTGCAGGGTCAGTATTTGGTGTGCTTCTTTTTTGTCTCCTGGTCGCTCTGGTTGTCTTCATTTTCCTCAAAAGACCAGATATTATTAGGTGGGTGTCACTTCACTGACAAGAATAAAGTAGATTAAATCAAGACATTTATCAAATTTAATGTCTTAAATTTGATCCTGCAGCAGAAAGAAGTCTTCATTCATTAGTGGATCCAAAGTATCTAACACACAGAGCAAGTAAGTGTTTCTATATAATGGCAATTACCCACAATGAAGAAAAGCATTAATTATGGCAAAATTAATTAATAAAATTGAGAGAGTTATGTTTTATTTATTCATTTATTTTTAGATCTATCCCTGCTGCAAAGTTTCCGGACCACTTCCATCAGCTGAGTTTGGATGAGAACAGAGGATTCAGTGAGGAATATGAGGTGCATAAAAAGATCAAGATTTTTTTTCCACTTCTGCTTCTGTGTGTTCCTGTTTTTGTGTCTTTAATGTTTTATTTCTTACCATTTTATTCGTTTTATGATGGCCAATATCTCAGTTTCATGCTTTGTTATCTGTTGCCTTCATGCAGTGCCTCGCTCCTGTTGGAACAGACCAGACACGAAAGACTGCTATTCTACCTGAAAACAAAACGAAGAATCGTTTCAATAACGTCTTGCCATGTGAGTCTCTCCTCTGACTGTTGAACCGTGCTGTTGTGAGCTCATTCTAACAGTCTATGTCAGGTCTACTGGAGGTGCACTGGAGTTAAATCACCTGTTTTCTCATATTAGATGACTGGTGTCGTGTGAAGCTAACTACATCAGATCCTGATGGAATTTCAGACTATATCAATGCCAATTACATGCCGGTAGGTGTTACATTAAGATAAAGTTCAGTGAAGATCTCTTTATAACTATACCATACAGAGAGCATATAAACAAGCACCTTTGTGTGATTTCATGAGCTTTCTTCTTTCCTTTCTATAACGAGCAGAAGACATACAAGCTAAATTAGTCTACATATTAACTTTGTCCACTGCTTTTCAGGGCTACAGCAGTAACAGAGAGTACATTGCCACTCAGGGCCCTCTGCCCTCTACTGTTAATGACTTCTGGAGAATGATTTGGGAACAAAGAGTTAAGAGGATCGTTATGGTAACCAACTGCATTGAAGGAGGGCGGGTAAGTCTTCAGGAAAATCTTAAAATGTTTTATTGATAGTCTTTTAAGGAAGTGGTTGTCAGGAGGAAACATACGGGTCACTTCACAAAGAACAGATCAAGATCTATGATTAATATATATTTTGTACGTGTATTTTGTTGCTATTTGTTCATTTTTCTAGACCAAGTGTGAACAATACTGGCCTACAGACAGCAAGTCATGCCTTTATGGAGAGCTGTTAGTCACCATGAGATCTGAGCAACAGGAGACCAACTGGACGCTGAGAGAATTCAACCTGAAAGATGTATAAAAACGTACTTATATCTTTTGAGTGTGTGTGTAGATGGTACTAAGTAAGGCTAGAAAACATGAATAGAAAACATTGAAGGCTTTAGCTGTTAATGTTGCTTTTAAAAGAATAATGGTTGATTGATACCTAAAATATTATGCTGTATATCAAGACATAGACCTAAAGTAACTGTATATGAATGTTCCTCACAGAGAAAAACCGCAGAAGAACGGACAGTTAAACATTTCCACTTTACTGCCTGGCCTGATCATGGAGTCCCAGAGTGCACAGAGGTCCTGATCCAGTTCAGAGGACTGGTGAGACAGCACATAGAGAGAGAAGGGGGCAAAGCACCAACTGTGGTTCACTGCAGGTACGAAATAAGTGTTTCCTTTTACATGGGTGCAGGGTTGCTTTTATACAATATCCACCCAGCTAAAGTCACACACTCTAATACTTTACTTGACCAGTAGTTAAACTAAAGTAGGCCACTTGCAGGACCTCTGGGAGATTCATCTGAAAGTGGTGCTCTAAAACCTGTATGTACTGTTCATTATATACCTTATGGTGCATATCAGGATGTACAAGCTGCCATTGCCATCCTGTCTTACAGTTATAGTCAGACCTCTTCTGGGATCTACAGAGGAGGCATACAATTAACCACAACATTATAAATTACTACATACTCGCATATAAACTCTACTATATATGACAGAGACACAGCGCGTACAGTGTCTGACTGATACTGTAAAAATATAATGTGATGTTTCGAGGCAGTGTATTAGGAGCAGGTGAAGGGTTGGTATCTTCCCACATTCCCAAACACTCCTGTCTGTGATTAAAATTGTGTGTCTGTTGTGACAGAAAATTTTGTTCAGGTTTTGTGTTTTTTAATCTGTTTTTCTTTCTGTCATGATGTCTTGTTTTCAGCTCATTTTAGTTTCATTTTGCATTAACTAGTTTCACTTTGGTTTTTACTGTTTGGAAATGTTCCGTTTTAGTTTAGCTTTCGTTAGTTTCTGTGGGTTTTATAATGATAATAACATTTAGGGTATTTGTTAGGGGGGTATATTTTTAAAAGTTTTGAACAGACATTACATTACAAATTGCAAACACATGCACTAACTCCTCACTGTGATGACAACTTTGACCAAAGGGGCAAAGATTACAATTAAGGCATTTCCTCAATAGGGAGGATTAGTATTGCACATGATAGTTTTTCACTTTTTTCAAAAGTCCAATTCTTCATTTTAGCAGTTTTCACATCTAGTTATAGGTTCTAGTTTAGTTTTTGTTAACTATAATAGCTTTGGCACAGACACAGTGATGAGAGCTTTCTATGTGACCTTCAAAGCCTTTTGCTTATCTTATTATAACGCTTGTGTCTCTCTTAGTGCTGGAGTCGGGAGAACTGGCACTATCATTTCCCTGGATGTGCTGCTTCAGCAGCTGGAGAAAGAACAAGCAGTCGGCATCAATGCCTTCGTACACAAGATGAGACTGAACCGACCGTACATGGTGCAGACGGAGGTAACAGTGTTAAACTGCTTCTGATTGAGCCACCACTTCCTTAATTAGCTAATCATGTATTTCTTTATAGTCACAGCTGGTGAAACAACACACAGACAGCAGTTTATTCATCATAAGATATGCAGTTGTTTTTTTGTTTGTGTTTTTTAAATTGGGGTCCTCATTTTTGATCATTTCATCTTAAAATATGAGTTTGAAAAGGAAGTTTTTCTATTGTTTAACTTTTCAGAACAAGGCAGACTTTGTAGGTATTACCAACAGATGCCTGCTTAAAATATATTTAATGCCCAGTTTTGTTAAGTAGTAATTTAGACAGCAAAACACTTGATTGAAATGTTATTATAGTCCTGTTTGTGACATTAGAGCCAGCATTTCTCTCTAAGGGTCTATGTCTACATCTTTTTAAGTAAGTGAGCTGAAAATTTGTTTTCATAAAACAAAGCTTTATTGGGTCTTTTTGTTTCAGAAAAAAAGATGAAATGCTTTATTGTGAAACTGTTTAGCAATGTTGCCTGCAAGAAACTCTCATAATCTCCCCTGGCAGAAGTTCTGCATTTCAAATGACCAACAACTTCTGGTATTTCCTTTTCAGTCTCAGTACGTTTTTCTGCACCAGTGCATCATGGACAGTCTGCAACCAAAAGATACGAATGAAGAGAACATTTATGAGAACACGTATGAGAACGCAGATATGATATACGTCAATGCCACTGCCCTCCAAGAGCTCCGTCGACAAAACGCAAATGCGTAGTGTCAACCCTGCACTCAATCTTTTATGCACTTAATGAAAAACTATTTGTCTATAAGCAATATGTTGGTTTTAAACGTAATAATACAAACTATTACATCTTAACTATTTCTGTATATGCATTGCACACTTCAGATCTTATTCAGTTTGCATCTCTTCTAAATATGTAATATTATTATTTTTGTTGTCATTGTTTTTGTGTGAGAAAATAGCACTCTGATGACTTGAAAATGTTTAAAAAATGAATTTATTAAAATAAGTAGAAAACAAAGGAATAATTACAAGAAATATAATATTTCACATTCACAGAAATATAAAAGCTGAGTTTTGGTTTCAGTGTGTCATTGATCCTCTTTCCTAGACCAGAAACAACCATTTATGCATCTTCTTCTGTGACGTTGCTACCTGAGGGGTCCTGACTGCTGGACACAGCAGAGAATTTACTATCAATAACTTCCTGTCTGGCTTTGAGGGCCTCCTGTTTGATCTCTACTGGCCCTGACTGCTGCTTGCCAGGATATAGCGGCTCAGCTTTACCGGCGTCAGGCGGGGGAGGGACAGAGAACTTTTTAGCGATGTTGTGCAGCACACTGCATGCTTTGATAATGTTAGACTGTTTGTTAAGTGAGCCTTCTTGTGCAAAACCAAGTTGCATCAGACACTTGAAACGCCTTTTCATGGAATCCAGTGTCGTCTGCATGACATCGAGAATCTTTGTGTGGGCCTCGTTGAAGCGGATCTCGTTGTTGTTCGCGGGCAGTGATACAGGAGTCAAGACGTGCTTGCTTAAGTGGTAGCCTTTCCCACCTTCAAATGAAACATAAGAAAATGCAGTGAATATCAGAGCAGGAGAGCATCTCTGAACAATGTGGACCACACAGGTGCCACTCTATTGAGAGCCATTCTCGGAATACTTTGATCCCTGATTACAAACTGAGAATCTTCTAAATGCCAGAGCCCAGATCTAAATATTGATGCTATGTTCTCCCTTTATGACCACAGTGTACCCATCTTCTAGTGACTCCTTTAGACAAGATAGTCGCCATGTCACAAAATCTCAATTCATGTAAAACTGGTTTCTTGAGCATGAAAATGAGCTCCCTGTACTGAAATGGCCTCCACAACTCAAAGTGAGAATCACAGTGGGGAAGAAAGAACTTTGAACGTGAGATGTTAATGCTAGATATGCTGGTCTAAGTATTTCACAACTGTCTGCTGGGATTTCCTCACACAAGCGCTGGAGTTTACATATAATGGTAGGAAAAAGAAAATATCCAGTGAGCAGCAGTTTCCTGGCAGAAAACAGCTTATAATGTTAGAGGTCAGAGAAAAATGGCCAGACTGCTTTGATCTGATAGGAAGGCAAAAGTAACCACGATTGAGGTATGCAGAAGGTCATCTGTGAAAACACCTGAAGCCAATGGGCTACCACAGCAGAAGACCACAATGGGTGCGACAACCGTCAGCTAAAAACAGGAAACTGAGGCCACAGTTTGCACTGGTTCATCGAAACTGGACGACAGAAGAATGGGATGTGGTGATCAGGGAGATTCCCGTTATGGATGTGCAGCTGACAAATCTGCAGCAATCTGATATGAATCTAGAAACCTTGACCTAAATCTCTGACAAACTTTTCCAGCACCCTGTTGAATCTAGGTCATGAATAATAACGTAATAATGCATTAATAACATGCCCAGTAAGTTTACGCGTAAGAAGTTAAAACACTATTTTATTTGTGTTTTATGTAAAAAGAAATATTCCAGCAAAATCAACTGTTTGCCAAGAAGTTAATACTTTTGCCAACTGTCAATTTTGCCTTTTTCGGGGAATAGAAACACTAAAGAGCAGGTTTGTTCTTTTTGGGAATAACTGCCTTGCATTCATTGCCTTAACTTATATCTGTATCTTTGCATCCCCTCATACACCTCTACTTAATCAAGGGATCTTTACACCTTTCTGGAAGGGTTATTGCTGGGTGACCCAAGTAGGGGAAGTGCAGATTTTCAGGTAGTTTAGATGATGGGGTGGGGTCTTCCTGGGCGTCTTCTTGTTGCTAGGCAACCAATCATCGTCAGACGCAAACAGATGATAGTTTTGTAGGTTTTTATGCTTGACTTGATACCTCACTGTGCTGTCACTCCAGTTTACATTTCTAAATAAACATTTGCACAAGAGGTCATCACTGCTCTTACCAATCAACCAAAACGGGCTGTGCAGGTCCTCTTGCATTTCCCTTCCTTTAAAGGAGGAGTCCCACATCTCTTGCTCAAACGTGCCACCAACACAGCACTTTTCAACACTCAGTATGTTGCCGTCGCAGTCGCATATGATCTGGCTTACAACCGATGTGTAACCCAGGGCATTGATAAAAGACCTGAAAGCGTCCTTTTCATATGGAGATGCTCTGATCTTGAAGTGCGCAGCAGCCAAGACGCCCAGCACGTTTGGGATTTCGCAGAATTTCTCTATCTTTAAGGCGACGTTAGTTCTGGCGTCCAGGGTTAGCGGGAAAGAGATGAACACATCGGACATCCCTGCTATGACTCCCGAGATTGTACCAACCACAGTCGTGGGGCAGTCCGTCTGCCTCAGTCCGGCTTTCTGCAGCACGGCAGTGGTGGAGACCCCATGTGCGTAATAATTGAGCGCCACCATGACCATCTCGTCCACGGGCAGCTGGGATTTCTTGGGGGTGGCGTCCTTCATGCGGATGCGGACGGCGTCGGCGATGAAAAGGATGCAGGGTCTGCTCAGGTTGAACAACTGAAAAAGAGCTTCATCGTCGAAAGTGTCAAAACAGCTCGAAGCTCCGCATTCTGCCTCGTTTTGTGCCAGGAGCTCCTCCTGGACCGCAAGCCACACAGGCACGGCGAAAGCCATTAGTTTTTACTCCGAAGGATTTAAATAAGCAAAGATCCCCCACGGAGTGCCCGAAATCGTTCCCAAACAACGTCTTCTTCTCCTTTGGCTTGGCAGACTGGACGCTGGGCGGCGTCCTGCTGCCCTCTGCTGTTCACTTGTGTCCCTGTTTCGACAGCGCTCTCTGTGTTGTTACATATTGCAGGATTATGCGGACACTCGCCCAATTTCGTAATCTTATTCCGGTTATGCACCTTGATTAAAGCGCAACAACAAATCTCCTGGTTGCCTGGTCTTTGTTTAACGTTACGCTAAAGCGATCCGTTATCGCCACCTAGTGGACAGCAATAAAGAAAATATTTGAAAAAGACTGCAGTTCATAATGTGTAAACAAGTTGTGTTAACATACAGTTTAACAGGTGTACCTAATAAAGTGGCTTGTGACCAAAAACCCAAAATTTATTGTGGGATAAAATGCTAAAAACTGCCTCTTATTCTCTGGGATAATCAAGTGCAGATGTTCATTTGCAGCTTTAGTAATGATTCAGATGCAGATTGGGCATAAATAATTATCTGGAGCCACTTTTAATTTAGACAGACATTTCTGACAGACATTAAAGTACTAGAACAAAATAAGATGTTAATTTCTTCTAGCAGTGGACTTAAAAATAAAAGAATTAACATAAAAATATGATTATTTATGACATGTTTATTGCACAGAATAATAAATATAAACATTCTGTATTTTAACATAGACAGTACAGCCATTTACAGTTGTTTTCATTCAATATACATCTTATTGTGACCAGTGTATTCACATTTAACCATTATAAAGACGCTTAAACAACAAAAAAGTCAACAGAATATATCTTCTTATAAATAAGGCACAAAACATATCATAAAAAAGACAAACAGTAACACCAAAATAAAACCCCTGCAGCTTTACTTCTGCTCTGTCCACAGCAGTATCAGACTGTGCTTGTTACATACTGGGTGATAAATAGAACATTTTGTTGACTTCACTAATTGACACATCCTTCAATCGGGGTATTCCTCCGTTACGGGAGGACTCAGTGCTCTGGCCTTGTGCATACACATCTGTGACAGAAAAAAGACATTTAACAATCAGGAAATTCTGAAAATGTGGCATGGTTGTTGGTGGCAGACAGGTTGGTTCGAATATTTCAGAAGCTGGTAATCTACTGGGATTTTCCCCACACAACAAGAGAAGAATGGCCAGACTGCTTCAAGCTGACAGGAAGGCAACAGTAACTCAGATAACCACTTGTTATAAGAAAACACCTAATAAAATGGCCAATCAGTGTAATATAATGAAGTGCATTTTATTTTCAGCTTGTTTACATGTATATTCTCACGCAGCACAATTTTAGATTCCTTCTTCTTCTCACTCTAAATGTTAGCTAACCTAATCAGGCAGTCAGAGTCTGAACAGTGCAGCATCCTCACCTGTGATGTTGTCCACAGAGTCCAGCGGTGCCGTGTTGCTCATGTTCACACCAAATAACAGAATGAAACAGACTGTTATTGCGACCAGCAAGTAGATTGGCATCGCAAGAGCCCAGTACCTACACAGGACACACATTTGACACTGTCATGAAACTGTGCAGGTGCTTTCCCGGTGATCCATTTATCTCAGAGCAGTTCTACTTACTTTTGAGGCCAGTAAGAGAGCCCTATTGAATGAAGCCAATCCTCTGGCACGAAAGCCCATAAGCAATACAGAACTGTGGAGAGACGCAGTGAGTATTACAGACATGCATTGCTTGAACACCTTTTTGTGTTTTGGATTGGAGGACGCGATATTTCACTTACAGAAGCCAAACTGTGATCCGAGGAAGAGAACAAACCCATAAATGGCCCTCTCAGGCAGAGGAGATGGAGAGTTTTCCAACATGATCTACAACCAAAACACAGACAGAAACGTGTGAGAGCAACGAGACAGCAATAATACATTCAGGCCCCAAACAGAAGTTACATACCTGGAAATACGTTTTTTCTTTGCTCCTTTAAACGCTAACTTTACTCAGATGCTTAACATTAATTACCACGTTAATTATATGCCTGATGATTATCCAGAGTAATACAACATGGATTTAATACGTCTATCAAAACCCACTGTTTTTTTTTACATTAGTGCTATAAAGCCTTCCGCCACGGTCCGTCATTTTTTCTCAGAACGATGCGAAACCCTTTCTAAAACATTAGTTCCGCCTTTGAATCGCCCACAAAACAAGCGTAAATACATGACTTTTTAAGTTAATTATATAAAATTTCACATGTATATAATTGTAAAGCAAAAGCACGATCGGAGATTTTTTTCATATCTTACTGACTTGACGCACTTGCGCTACAGCACGACGTCATGTTTGTGACGGACACATTTTACTGTTGCACATCGTAGGAAAACACTACGGCATGGCTTCGGAGTGAGTTAAGTTTTACGTGTAAGCGATTTTATGTACAGTTCAGGGACGTGCTTCAGTGACGCTCGTGTGCTGGACGAAAGGTGAGCTTAGGCTGGGGGAGACATTTCTTACTGTCTGAAGTTGTTTGGCAACTCAAGTAACGGACATCTGACAAGCCAGCGTGGCTTCACACACTTCACCAAGAAAAATCTAAGGAGGTGAGGATACATGAGATAGGTGATCATAATGTCTAAGGTGGAGAAACAGAAAAAACACCTTCCCGCTAAAGCATCTAAGCGGAAACCTAATAAGAAAAACGGCATATTAAAAAAGAACGAGAGGCATTGGTTTTACTCAGCTCCTGCAAACAAGGAGCAGGAAAAGCCTACAGCTCCACAAACTGCTCCTCCAAAAGACTCCCAGCAGTTCTCTGCCAACTGGAAAGCACTTCAAGAGGTTAGTGAGTGCAATAGTTTGAGCTCCAAGCATATCCCGTCACACACTTTGGTTTTTGTGTGCCTGTGTTTAATACTACCCACAGGTATTTTCTCTCTCCTATTTTACTCCCTTCAGGTGTTGAAGGCCAGTCAGTCAGAGAAGAAGCAGCCCGCGGCACCAAGACATCAGAACGGCTTCTCGCCAAAGAATGTCCAAGAAAATACTTCTAAAATAATTTCTAAGAACAATGCTGCACCAAGCCAGAGAGACACTGAGAAAAAAGCAGATCACAAAACTGTTCCTAAGAGTTTTGTCTCCGGTAAGACTGGGGTCAACTCAAAGGTGTCGAATGTCTCGAAGACTAAACATGCTATTGCTTCAAAAAGAGAGCGGGATAGTGGGAAGCCAAACAGCCTACAGGCAGCTAAGAAGAAGAAGCTTGAATCCGAGGAGACGAAGCCATCAGAGTATGTATATATTAGCACTGACATTGACTCATTTATTCAGCAAGAATAAATATGTCTGATAATCCCATCTCATTCTCTGCTGTTGCAGAGAGGACCTTTGGTTTGATGACGTGGACCCGGATGACATTGAGGCGACAATGGGAGCAGAAGCAGCCGAGATCATGAGGAAGAAGCAGGGCAAGGCCAAGGGTACGGATGGTGCATCGGCTAATGACACAGAGAAGAGCCTGGTTAAGGAGAATGCTTTTGAAGGGTAAGTCGCTGTGCATTCAGTGTACAGTGGGAAACACACTCAGAATACAGCGGGCAGCATTGATGCCAATTTAGAAAAGTGCCTGAAAATATTCCCGGGGAAAGATGCACGCCTTAACAGCGATTATAAAAAATATCAAGTCCCTAATGTCATTACTTATCTCAATACAAGTATTTCAGAGGAATGTTGCTGCTGGGGTGGGATTAGCTGGCTGTGATTAACTGTGGATGTAATATTAACAATGTGAATTTGGCACATAATGTCATACTTGGGGAATGTCACACAAAATGTGTTTTTCCCAAAATTCAACACTTTAATATCTGTGAAACCGCTCAACTGGGTCGACAACATTATGTGCCTCGTGTATAAGAAGCTCAAAGTAAATTATCCCGCCGCCACCTTCTCCAGTTCTCTGGATCTGCTGTCAAAGATCAGACATCCAATTATTTCAGGGACTCGTTCTGTATGAAGTTGAGCGACACTCCTGAGAGCCCATATTCACAGAACCCCTGAAAAATGTCAAACACACTCCCACCACCATATATTCTGAAAGATCTAATGACAGCAGAAACCTGGCATTTCTAATGAACAGTGTATCGTTCCACAGGGATATTTTTTTTTCCGTTAGATATGATGATCAGGTGGGATTTTTATTTTTTTTAATTTGATGAAATTGATGAGATGGAATGACCCAAAGGAGATGGAGACTATTTTTTCCCCCTCAGGGGAGAGCTTCATGGAGCTTTCCTTCAAGAAGTCAAATATTACATATAGTCTGTGATAAATTCTTTTGTCATTGCATGTTTTAGTGAATTGACCTGACAGAGTATGAACTAAACATGGTTGCTGAATGTTTTCTGCAGGATATGGAAATGGATAAATTGTTGAATGGAATTTATCCAATTCAAATCCTTCACTGTACTTTGTGGTGACGCAACCTGTCAATACGGCTTCAGAGCGGTATTGACACTACATTGCTGTAGAAAATCACTGATAATACAGATAAATGCTGTGGAAAAACCTGTGACTCCTGATGGATGAATAGATGGATGCATTCTGAGCTAGATCATAAAAGGTGTGACCCTATTATGCTCTGTGTGTCACGTGCTGGATTTGACATCACAGCCTGTGTCTGCTGGTCATGCACCTCTCAATGTTTGTAGCCTGAAGTGTCGAGCAAGGGTTAAAGATGCAAGTGTAAAATCATGTCAGCGAGCGAAGTGACCATTGCGTTCGGTGTACATTGAGGGGTTTGCATTGACACAGAAGATGATGATTGTAATGTCTCTCCTTTCTTGTCACTTTGTTATTCACCTTAAGCCTCACTAAGGCGGTGGCCATTGACTGTGAGATGGTGGGAGTTGGTCCTGACGGAGAGGACAGCATCTTGGCACGTGTGTCAATTGTGAACCAGTTTGGGAAGTGCATCTATGACAAATATGTGAAGCCCACAGAGAAGGTAACAGACTACAGGACAGCTGTCAGCGGCATCCGACCAGAGGACATCAAAGACGGTGAGAGAAATGAAATGAGTTGCAAAGAACAACTTAAAGTCTCTTTGTTCCTTATGTTTTGTTTCTGATGTTTTATAAACCACGTTTGTCTCTCTGCAGGAGCGGATGTACAGATTGTACAGAGGGAGGTTGCTAACATCCTGGAAGGGAGAGTAGTGGTTGGACACGCCATACACAATGATCTAAAGGTAGCATGGATGTGATATCTGAAATGGAACAAATGTAATATTTTTCAGCCTGATTATGAGCAGCCGCAAAATATCTCC